CATTTGAAATTATATGACATCTTCATGCCTGATGCCAGAGGCAAATTAACCTATTTGTACTACAATTTTAAGAAACTAGGTAACAGCATTGAAATCTAATATTTTTATTTTCCAATGAAATGAATACTTGCTACATAGTCATCTCTACAATTGTAGATTAACCATCCAGTGTTAACAAGATGTGATTCTATCAACCATTTAGCCTTGTTTTTTCATTGTCAATTATTAGACAGTGTTTAAGGGTAAGAAAATTACCTTAAGGTTTCAAGTTTGAGAAACCTATGGCAAGTTTTAAAAAGCACATTAGTCAGGGTACAATATATTAATTTAATTTACACATATACAATGAAAACTTATTCAACATGTACATAAGTCCTTGATTATTACCTCCCAATTAAGCCTTAACAGCTTCCAGGACTTCTCAACTAGTGGCGAGTCTGCCCTCTAGGAGACATGAGGTGCTATCTGATGTAATTCTGGTTGTCACTGCAGAAGGGTGAAAACTGTTATTTAGTGTGTAGAGTCCAGAGATGCTGCTACTCACTCATCCTACAAAGCACCCTCAACAGAGAATAATATACACCAAATGTTGATACTGCTGAAGGCTAACGCTGAAAAAGTGGAACCTAATTCCCATTTTATGAGTACTCTGTCTGTCCACTGTAATTGTGAAAGCAGATTCTGCTAACTGGAAAATTCTATTTAAAAGATTCAATCTAACCGACATCATTATCAAAAGGTTGACTTTAAGTATCATAATGATAACTTCCACAAAATCCATTTAGAATGATAGAAATCAGAATTACAAATGGCTTCTCACCTGTGAATAAAAAGCATCCAACCATGGATTGAAAATAATCTGAAAAAGGCAAAGCATCTGTACTAAATATGTACAGGGTTCTTGTTATAATTTTCTGAACTACACAGTGTAACCATTTCATAGTATGTACATAGTATTTGTTATTATAAGTAACCTACAGACAATCTGAGGGATAGAGGAAGAAGTGCATAGGTTATATACAAATATTACACCACTTTACTATATATGAGGAACTTTAGTATCTGCAAATTTTGGTAAGAAAGAAATCCTAAACCAATCCTGTATGGTTACTGAAAGATGACTCTTAAATCATTTAATTTCCTTTGAATCTGCTCTGCCATTTAATCTATTAGGACTGTTTTGAAGTAGCTATACTTTTCTTTACATGTTTTTCTGGACTATGATACAAATGTACTGATACAGAAAGCACCTGGAAACTAGTACTCTGAAAAAGTTGAAAAAGTGAAGAGCTGTACTTATTTCTTCAAGTCTGTCATAACCAGATACTTCAACAGGATAAATTAAGTTTTATTTGCTTTTTCATTTTGCAACAATCTCTTATAAACGACTAGCAGTACAAGTATGTGGGGTATATAATACAAAATTATAAGTCAGTTGTATTTCCACATGAATTTTGGATGTGAAGTATCCATGTCCTAACAGGGAGGTCAATACAACAAAAAAAATTCTAATTCATTAGGTAAGGACACTACTAGTTATCTATACATTCACATTCTATGTATTTTCTCATGATCCACAAACTGACTCAAGTGATCCAAGTTATCCCACCATTTAAAAAGAAAAGTTTCAACAATAATCTTAAACCATGGAGTTATCTTAATATCACCTCTGTTTGCTTTTCCCATAAGTTCTTTTAGTTCTTCCTTTGACACATAACGATAGCTTTTAATCTCATTGGGATCTGGATTCAAAGTTACATTCTTCCTCACAAACAAAATGTAATCGATTTCATTTTCACCCCAGATACTGTCAGACTGTGCCTTGTAGTGAAAACGTGTTATATAATAAATTTCTTCTGGTGACACCTAGGACATTTAAAAAAAAAGCAATTTGAGGAAAATATCAACAAAAAGTAATGTAAAATTAACCATATTTCAACAGTATCTTGAAGAGCAGCAGTGTACTTTTAGAATTTGAACTTTTAATTGAGTTCACATAGAAAAATTATTATGTTATTTCAAGGATCTAAATTTAGGATCAAACAGGTAAATTGATTTTTATAAGTATTTTTTAAGAATAGTTATTCATTCATTTGTTCATATTTTTAAACGTAACATTCATCTTGTCAAATTACTTCTTGATGGAAAACAACTATCATTTTAACTAGATGAGTGATACTGTACTAATCCAGATCTTATTTGTTTTCAACAGAATAGTGTGTGGGGGAGGATATTTCAGGTTACCCAATTAATTTATAGTTCATATACTTCCATAAGAACATGGTCATCTTTGATATGATCAATTCTAAAAAATTATACAAACAGTCCATGTTACAGACTGGTTAACAGATCAATACACCTCAGTATTGCGCAAAGTTCTGACAGGTGATTTTAAAATGTGTATTGGGCTAAGGGTGTAGCTCAGTGGCAGGGCATTTGAGTATAATACATACATGAGGCCCTGGCTTTAACCCTCAGTACCAGCAAACACACACACACACACACACACACACACACACACACACACACACAAAGATAGACAGACTCAGATATTTTACTACATGTTTAGATTTCAGTGTATATTGTTGTCCAATAAAACTAGTTACCTCTTCTAAGGGAATGCCTAGTTCAGCTTTTAAACGCCTCTGTGCTGCTCTTCTCACACCAATGGCTTCATTTTCTTCAAGCTCATTTGGATTATTTAAGGGATGACTACAACAAGTGTTAGTAAAACAACCTGGAAATGTTAATATAGACATAGATTAACCTTTTTAAAAGTAGGTCTGAATGATCAAAGACAAACTTTAAAAGTAACAAGTAAAATGATCCTTTAGGATTTCTAAATCAGTTAGAATGCATTATTAGCAATTATTCTGTGACAAAAATTTGTGGATGCTATTTAATGTCTTCTTACCCAAAAGCATGAAAATCTATCAGTAGTAGTACAGATTTAGAAGTATCCATGTGAACACAGACATATGTATAGCCATCCCTGAATAGTTCTGTCATTCCTGTTCCATTAGGCTGCTCTCATTGTCTAAGCTTCTTCACAGCATCTGCCTTTTTGACCTTGGCTCCAGAAGTTCAGTGATAAAAGTCAAATTCAATACACTCCCCCTCCAAATCATCCTTGTACACTACATATACTAACCTGGAAAGGTAATTTTTGCATCTGATCTCTGCTGTATCAGAAGCTTATTCTCAGTGTTAAACAAGAAGACACTGAAAGCTCGATGCAATAATCCTGAAAGCAGAATAAGATTAATTTAATCATCTAAATTTTTCCTTGCAAATCAGAATACTACTAGTAACTTGCTGCTACTTTTGTTTTTATCTGTAGTCTCCTACCTGGATTGTCCCTTCATAGCTACAATGAAGAAGAGTTGTAGAATAACAGCATGGAAATCAGTGAAAGAAAAGGCAATCTTGACAGCTTTGCCACTAGTTAAAGGCTCTATCAAGAACATTTAGGGGCTGGGTATTTAGCTTAGCGGCAAAGTGCCTGCCTGGCAAGTGCAAGGTCATGAGTTCGGTTCCCGGTACAGGGGAAAAACCAAAAAAAAAAAAAAAAAAAAAAAAACCAAACCAAAACAAAAAGAACATTTAGCTCAGACTCTTCTCTTGTATTCCTGGGGCAGTTGTGAAGGTACAGAACATGCTTCCCTTTTTGTGGCTGCCTGTCACTCCGTTCATTAGACTTATAAACTTGACAACTGCTATTACATCAGGCTTAGTCCATGCCCTCTTTTAGGAACCAGAATAACCCTAAAACAGCTTAGTGAAAGCCATGAAAATGGAGAGAAACGGTCATTAGATAGGAAGGTAAAAAAGTGAATTTTATTATTCTACCATTTAATTGAATCAAGGGCCCCCAATCAAGAACTTCATCTCAGCAAGGTGTGGTGGCACATTCCTGTAATCCCAGCACTCTGGGAGGATGAGGCTGGAGGATCTCAAGTGAGAGCCCAACCCGAGCAACTCAGTGAGATCCTGTGTCAAAATAAAGGGGCTAGGGACCCAGCTCAGTGCAAACGCCTCGGGTTCAGTCCCTCGTACGTGCGCGCACACACACACACACACACACACACTGAAGTACCTGGACAAAACCATTGTAAAACAGAACAGTGTATTCACAACAGTACCTTTCTCTATGTTTTCATTGAGGTGACAATTCTTCTTGGTGTCAGCTCCGATTTTATTGTCGTTCTCATCAGTGACGATGCACATCTCTGCCAGGAGTTCAACCTGTTGTTTATCGAGATGGCTGATATTTATTTCAGGCATTGCTTTCAAACGTCTGACGCGCCCCAGAACACTAGGAAAGAGGGAAAAGGCCATCACCTGCCGCTTCTGCGACAGAGCGTAAACGTAGCTAAGGGCGGCGCTTCATCGGAGCCCACCGGGTTGAGAGCGAGGCCGCCGCGCACCAGGCAGCGGGCGCGCCCCGGAGCCCTCCCCAGGGCCGCTCCCGCCGCGCGCCC